CCCCGCTGCTGGACTGCCAGCTGGAGGTGGGCGGCAGCGCCTGGCCCTGGGCCAGGAAGCGGTTCACTTCTTCCTCGCCAGCAAACTCGGCCAAGATGGTAGTGTTTCCCAGGACACACCTGCAGGGGCAGGGCAGCAACGAAAGTGAGAGCTGGGTTTTTGAAAAGATGAACAAAATCGACAAACCTTTAGCTAGACTAACTCAGAAAACAAGAAGATACAAATAAGTAAAATCAGAAATGGAAAGAGGAGACATTACAACTGATGCCACAGAAACACAGAGGAGGCGCCGACCAACTGGGCACCTGCAGGAAATGGTCCAAGTCCTAGAAACACGATTTACCAAGACTGACTCGTGAAGAAGCAGAAAATCTGGAAGGACCAATAACGGGCAAGGAGACTGATCCGTAATCAGCTGACTACTCCCAAGGACCAGACGGTTTCACTGGTCAATTCTACCAAACATTTAAAGGAGGGTAAAGATCAATTCTTCTCAAACTTTTCCAAAAACTTAAAGAGGAGGGTACACTCCCCAGCTCATTTTACAAGACCAGTGTTATCCTGATGTCAAAGCCAGATGACACTGCAAGAAAACCAGACCAATATAGATGACTACAGATGCAAAAATTCTCACCAAAATATTAGCAAACTGAATCAACAGCTCATGAAAAGGATCATACACCACGATTGCGTGGGATTCATCTCTGGGATTCTGGCAGCGGTGGCTCGACATTTGCAAATCAATAAACGGGATTCACCACATTAAAAGAATCAAAGGCAGAATCAATCACGTGATCATCTTAGTAGATGCAGAAATACAGCTGACAAAACACAACATCCCTTCATGACGAAGACTCCTCGACGAGCAGGGAATTGGCAGGACAGGCCTCAGCGCAGGAAGAGCCGCGCACACGCAGGCCGCTAGCACCGCGCTCAGGGCTGAGGCTGAGAGCTTGTCCTCTGACGTCAGGAACAAGACCAGGTGCCACCCCCAGCCGTTCAACACAGGACTGGAAGTCTTAGCCAGAGCAAGCAGGCGAGACAAAGAAATGGAAGGTGCCCAAGCTGGAAGGGGAGAAGCAGAATGCTCTTTATCTGCACGTGACGTGACCTCATGCAGAGGGAATCCTGAAGACTCTGCCAAAGCACTGCTGAAACCAATCAAAGAATTCAGTAAAACTGCAGCCGTGCTTCTACACACTAAGAATGAAATATCTGAAAAAGAGATAAAGAAAAAGAGTCCCATTCACAATAGCATCAAGAACAATAAAGTACTTAGGAATAAATCTAACCAAGGAGGTGAACGATCTCTACAAGGGAACCTGTGAGAGTTTGATGAAAGAATTTGAAGACGACGCAGATGGAAAGCTAACCTGTATTTATGGGTTAGAAGAGTTAAAACTATCGTTAAAATGAGGGGGAGGATATAGCTCGGTGGCAGAGAGCATGCTTAGTTAGCATGCACGAGGTCCTGGGTTCAATCTCCAGTACCTCCTCTAAAAATAAATGAACCTAATTACACCCCCCCAAAAAAAAGTTAAAAAAAAATCTCATTATAATGTCCATACAACCTAAAGCCACCCATGGATTCAGTGCAATCCTTATCATATTCCAATGGCATTCTTCATAGAAATAGTAAAAACAATCCTAAAACGTGTGTGGAACCACAAAAGACCCCAGGCAGCCAAAGCAAACCTGAGAGAACCAAGCCGGAGGCATCAGGCTTCCTGGTTTCACGCCGCACACAGTTACCAGGAGAGCAGGCGCTGCATGAAGACAGACGCACATACCAGTGGGCCAGAGCAGGGAGCCCAGACACAGACCCCCACACACAAGCCAACTGACATTCGATATGGTCACCAAGAACACTCCACGGGGAACGGACAGTCTCTTCGACAGATGATGCAGGGAAAACTGGGCAGGCACAAGCAGAAAAAAGAAACTGCAGCCCTCTCTTACACCACTCACAAGAATTAACTTGAGCTGGATTAAAGACTTAAAAATAAGACCTGCAACCATACAACTCCTAGAAGAAAACACAGGGGGAAAGCTCCTTGATATTGGTTTCAGCCATGAAATTTTGGACATAACACCAAAAGCACAAGCAACTAAAGCAAAACTCAACGAGGGACCTCATCCAACTAGAAAGCTTCCGCACATCAAGGGAACCATCAACTAGGCGGAAAGACAACCTATAAAATGGGAAAAGCGTTTGCAAACCAGCTATCTCACAGAGTTAGCATCCAAAATATATAGAGAACCTCAAATAACTTGATAACAACCAAAAAACCCCCAAACAATCCAAATACAAAATGGGCAAAAGAACTAAACAGATATTTCCTCAAAGAAGACAGAAACGACCAACAGACACAGGAAAAGATGCTCAGCGTCGCTAACCATCAGGAACATGCCAGTCACAACCGCAGTGAGACACCCCTCACACCTTGGCCATCATCAAGAGGACAAGAACTCACAAGTGCTGGGAGGATGTGGAGAAAAGAGACGCCTTGTGCACTGCTGGTGGGGATGTAAACTTGTCCAGCCACTATGGAAAAACAGTATGGAGGCTCCTCAAAAACTTAAAAACAGAACCACCATATGATCCAGCAGGCCCACTCCGGGGTACACATCCAGAGGAAATGAACAGGGTACTGAAGAGATCCCTGGGCGCCCAGGTGCACTGCAGCATCACTTACAACAGCCGAAACAGGGAAACCACGTAAGTGTCCGTCAACAGATCCATGGATAAAGAAGATGTGAGACACACACACACACACACACACACACACAGGGGCTGCAGGTGGGGAGGCAGGGAGGGACTAGTCAAAGGGCACAAACCTCCAGTCAGAAGACGAGTGAGCTCCGGGGCTACAAGGCAGCTCGGTAACTACACTCCGCAACACTTCCAAGTCACTGAGACAGGAAATCTTAAATGTTCTCACCACAAAAAAAGAAACACTAACTACTGCCCTCATGTAGCTGTCAGCTCACTACAGTGGTAGCCACACTGCAATCTACAAATGTGTCAAACCAACACGTCCTGCACCTTAAACTGACACCATGTTCTATGTCAGTTACATCTCAGTGAACAAAGACTCAAAACAAACAAGCAAGCAAGCAGGGCAGGGGTCACATGAGTGGAGGTCTTCCTGTGTCTGCCTCACTGGCTTTCCCTGGGTTTTTCCTTTTAATGGAACAGTGCGGCTGAAGGCTTCATGTCACAGGTCCCCCAGAAGCAGTCCTGCAGCTCACGGATTATCACGGCTACTCCCAAGCCTGGCTTATGAACTTTTCTTCCCCCCTCATTTTAGACTCTAGCTGCTATGCTGTGTTGGTGTGGACAGCACCTTTCTAAGGAAGTGTGTGGACACACCATTAAACTCGAGCATCGTTCAGGATGGGTGTAATTTATATCCTAGGCTAGAAGCAGGAACAACTAATTTCCAGGGTCCACATCTCAAGTGACGTTGTTGGATAGGTCTGCTCACACATCTCATCAAAAGCTGCAGGGACCCTGAAGAGGCCAGCAGTGGGCACGCACGTGCCGAGTGCCCAGCGTTACCTGGGGGGCACATCGTCTGTCACCAGGCTCTACGTGTCCTCTCTTGGGGTGGAGGTGGTGGGGGCTTCCCTACTGGAGGGCAGAGCCGCGGCAAGTCAGCAGAGAGGAAACCAACATGTCACAAGACACCTATTCTGGTGTGAACTGTGTTCTCCCTAAATTCCTATGTTGAAGCCCTAGCCCCCAAGACCTCATTGTACCTCTGTTTGGAGGGAGGGTCTTTAAAGAGATCATTAAGGTAATATGAGGTCATGAGAGAGAAACCCAATTCGCTATGGGTGTCCTTACTAGGAGAGGAAGTCAGGACATACAATACTTGGACTGAGAGATGACCACGTGGACATGGGAGGGGCAGCCATGTGCAAGCCCATGAGAGGCCTCGGGAGGAGCCACCCCTGAAGACATGCTGGATTTCTGTCAGATTTCCAGCCTCTTGACCATGAGATAACCAGCGTCTGTGCCCGAGGTCCCCAGGGCCACAGGACCCGCCCACTACACCCGGGCGCAGCACTGCCAGGGCGCAGCACGGGGCGGCCGAGGGCAGGGGAGCAACGTACATGTGCAGGGACTTCTGGGCCTTGGCGGCTTCCTCCTTGGAGCTGTACCGGACCACGGCGTTGCCCTGCGTCAGGTTCAGGTGGAATGTGATGAGAGGCCCGTGCTGCAAACACAGCGTCCGCAGGGTGGAGCCGTCGATCTGACGGGGAAGCAGAGGGGGAGGGACTTCTTTCACCCTGCTCTTCAAAGCAGGTGTTCAGGAAGTCCGGGCGCGCTATGCCCCGGGAAGACGCCTCAAAGGGGCTCAGTATACGGCTTTAGGATGTTAACCTTCTGTACCTTGTCATCTACCTCGCAATTGTAAAATCTTGGACA